TGCATCAACCCCACAGTGACCGCCCTAACGTTATGTATTGCCATTAGCCTAGTTCATAGGAAATATCATCCTTTCTGCAATACTCACAACACCACATTATCATTCTCACATTGAATGATATCAAGATGAGTTCAATTGAGCGCATGTCCCCATTGGACTTGCTAGACCTTAATCTCACAAACCTCGATCCTCTTACTGAGAATTATGATCTCGGCTTCTACTTGAACTACCTAAACAAATGGCCCTCATTGTTCAGCACCGTCAAGGACCATAATGCCGGCATCGTAGGTTATAGTATGTTCAATTCTAGCCCTAACTTGGGGGCAAATTCTCCTCAAATCCCCTGGAATATATCTAACATCTTGGTATTAGTCATGGGCAAGCTCGAAGAGCAACACCCTGCCATGCGCCACTCCGAGCATTACACACCATGGCACGGACACATCACAGTCTTGACCGTGGCCCCAGCCTGGCGCCGTCTCGGATTTGCCCGCAGGCTGACCGAGCAGCTCGAGCGAGGATCCGACAGTAACGATGCCTGGTTTGTTGATCTCTACGTCCGCGCGGGAAATAAAGTTGCATATGACATGTACAAAGGAATGGGGTAAGTGAAGCAATGTGGATGCGGGAATGCTGAATTGAGTGCTGACATGTGTATTTACAGATACTCTGTATTCCGGCGGGTGGTTAACTATTATAGCGATGATCCATCGGGGATGTCGGAGAATGGGGAAGATGCGTTTGATATGCGCAAGCCGTGCAGTCGAGATAAGAAGCTCGAGCATGTACGAGAAAATGGCGAGAATTTCCCTGTTGGGCCGGAGGATGTGATGTAAATCATTCTTCGTTTCGTGGTGTTTATTGAAGCAGCCTGGATGGTATTCTTTTCTTCAAGGGCTTCTCATGGCATGGGCTTATGCAGGGCTGGGGGTTTTATTATATCTTCTCGTATAGAATCAGAGATATGATTATGATTATTGTTTGCATTTTCCGTCTAAATACATTATGAAGTGCACCCTGTCCCCCTGATTGGGATATCGGGAGGTAATGCAACATACAAGATGACCAAATGATGAAGTTAATAGTGGATATCGTTGATCCAACGAATTTATGCCAAGACACAGCCAGAACAAGGCTGAAACTTAAAACCTCTGTGGGGAGATGGGTATATTTTATGAGACATTTCAGCAGCCAGTAGCCGAGACTCAATCAAGCCTTGACATGGAACTTAAGACCGGAGCGCAGAAATCTGACGCAGGTCATAAGAACCGCAGAGCTGGTGAGACAGCAAGCGGTGAAAAGCTGAACACCGAGGAATTGGTTTGTATCGGACAAGATTGCACCACCGATGGGGGTACCAATCAACAGGCCTATGGAAGTGATAGCAAAGACCATGCCCAAGCGTGTTCCCAGGTTACGCACGTCCGGAGTCATGCTCGCCATGACCACAGGCGGTAGGGAGACAAATCCACCCGAGAAGAAACCGTAGAAGACGGCAAGGATGATGATGCCGGGTACGGTATGAACACCGATCCAGACGAACGCCAAGGTGGCAGTGATGGTCACGGCGGGAGTGAGCATATTCAAAGGGCCGACGTGGTCAGCGAGGAAGTTAGGCGCAATACGACCGAAGGTCGAGGCTGCGTTTAACATGGAGAGCAGGTAGAATCCCAGGTTGGCATCTACAATGCCAGTCTCTATTGCGTATGACTGCACATAGAAAAGGAAGTTGTAGAAACCCAAGAAACCCATGAACATGGCAATGGCGAAGACAGTGAAAGCCGGTTCCTTTAGGGCAGACAACTGGAAGAGCTTGCGCTTCTCTTTTGGCTGGAAGCGCGAGCGCATAATGCTGATGGAAATGCAAATGGTGCCAAAGCAGACGAACCCAAGTGCTCGAGTAGCCCAGGCAACACCGACCTTCTTCTGCAACTGATCGAACATGATTGGATAGATCACACCACCGATACTACTGCCGCTGGCAGCCAAGCCGTTGGCCAGGCCTCTCTTACGACGGAAGTACTGTGGCAGGATGGCGACGGAGGGCACGAAAAGACAGCCTGCTGCGAGTCCGACGCAAACTCCCTGGGAAAGAATCAGCTGCCAGTATTCTGTGGCAAGACTCGTCATCATCAAGCCGAAGGGTAGCAGGAATGCAGCGAAGATGATGAGGGATCGAAAATAGCCAGCGTCAAACAGGGGACCTGTAATGACTCCAACCATCATCAGAAGAAAAGACTGCAGCGATCCAATCCAGGCAATGGTTGATGATGAAGTACCGGCGAGTAACTCTCGCTCATAATAGGTTTGATATGCACCCCATGTATTGATAATGCCCCTATTCCAAGGCGTTAACAATAGGATCTTTATATCAAAGAACATGTTCTTACCATGAATTGAAGAAAAGAAAGAATGAGCCCAAAACTTGGAGCCATGTTTGTAGACCAGTATCGAATGTTAACTCGGGCTCTTTGTCCGTTGAATGTGTTATATTGGTGTTGGCATTTTCCTGAGTGGCTGAAGAATCAGCGAGGACTTTTTGCTCTATATCCAAGTTAGTTGACCCCATATTGGTTCATATATCGGTCAAATAAATGCCCCTCACAGTTGGGAGTGTGTAATGATATAAAGTCCAGATGAAAAAAAGAATACAAAAACATCTATGTTGTATGAATTTTTCAGTGGCTTATAAACCCCCAAGTTAGCGGGGTTTAACTGGGACCTCTCCCGAGGTTGGTCATTCGGCCATTCGACATATAAAGCAGATAGATGGCACAATTAATAGGGGGAGGGTTTCCAAAATAGGATATAGAGTTGCTATATTTCGACTTAAGCATGTTATATATACCTAAATTAACTAAAATCACATACTTTCTTCCCCTCTTGTTCTTTGTAAAAATCTCAATGACTATGGACGGCAAATTGGTTGCCCTGGTACCGAAACTGGCCTAGTCACTAGTGAGATCCATAAGCTGAGTTGGACCCAATATTGAGAATAGCGAATAGCCGAATCTACTTTTTACCGGATAGGTCTAGTATAGGAACCAGTGGGATATCCAAGGTTATACATAGGAAAGTCTCTTGCACAGAATACTAGTTACGGGCGACTACGGGGATCACCGTCACATAACTCTCTCATTGGTTTATATTGCTAGGCAGTAACTTAGACCTAGTTGTATAACTAGTTAGTAGTAATATTGAACCTAGATGATTCCTTATAGATAAATGAAGAGACATCTAGAAAGACAACTAAAAAGACAACTATGAAGACCTTAAGAAGAACATCTAAAAAAGAAGATCTAGTAAGATGTCAGTGTATGCTTATATACAGTATGCCTAATACCATATTTTTCCAACATTAAAATCTAGAAATAAACCTAAGGTCGATAGTTAGTCGTACCATATGAAGTATATAGGTGTAAAAATAAAAGAGAAGTTGAAATTCATGTACCTTACTTCAAGAAGGCGGTGATAAAATAGGCTGTAACTATGTGACAGTGATCCCTATAGTCGCCCGTAAATAGTTAAGCAGCCGATTATTCTTGTGCTTATCATGCAGGATGGAGGTGTGCTGGTGTACTCCAACTATGCTAATATGCTACCAACTCAATGCATCTATATCCCAGCCAGGAGTTAAATTATGCTTGGAAAAAGATATGACACATGAAGCATGAAGCATAAAGCATATCAAAAATATCAAAATCATTCAGGCCATTGAAACCCCAACATTTTTCACGTAGTTTATAGCGCTATAGTTAATTGCTTCTTCTAAGTCAAAGTATGTGTATACATGCAAGAAGATAAACAGGTCAAATTATTTTTGGATATGTTTTTTTCCGTTCTAGATTCATGTACAAAGTCTCATTGATGTCCATTGTTTCATCAAGGACATCCAAGTCTCTTTTTTTCTCGACGGGTTCTTCGAATCCCAGAACTCCAAACGCTATGCTGAAACCCAAAGAAAAGCAAAAGATGGAAAACAGCCTCCGTGAGCAACGGTACGGGTTTTGACCACTACAACAGCTCCTCGCATGTCCAATCCTCATACCTAAAGCCGAACACTGTTAGATATAGTCCGTCACTCATGTTTGACAGGGTATTGCTTACCATCCATCGGGCAGGTATCGGCGAATGATCAGGGGAATCTTCTTCTGGTTCAATTCCTTCATGGCGATCTGCAGGGGATCGGTTTCACCCTCGAGGTCGACAAGAACGGGGGCGTTCATACTATGGCAAATGTCAGCAAACCTAATCCCACAAAATATACGCGCAATTGTCTGCATCATAAGCAACGTACCTGATCTGCAGGGCACGGGTACCGAGGACACGCGCGCGCTCGTACTTGGTCAAGTACGGGGTGGTGGTGCGCTGGTCATTGGATACTTTCTTCTCGCGCGACTGCTCCATTACTTTTCCTGCGTATCCGGCATTGGGATCGCCAGAGACAACGACATTCTCGCCGTTGGTGGTGGGGTAATCTTCTCCCTCAACCCCGTCTTCGCCCTCGAGGCCTTCTTGTTCCTCCGGCTCCTCATCAAACACATCCTCGCCGGGCTCGTAGTCGAAGCTGCGCACACCACATTGTTAGAAAATGGGCTTATACAAGTATGTGCGAACACATTGTGAAGCTGCCCGGCGGCAAAATGGAAGCAAAGCTCCTTTGCGCCTGCTCCCCGGGCAATCTGGTGAAGGGAGATAGCTTACGTCTCTTCGACGTCGTCGTCGTGGCCGTAGTCAGACATAATGACAGTTAAACCTGTAAATGAGCGAAGTATTCGTAGGCCGAAGCGAGCGATGAAAGACCCAGAGGTTTGAGAGACAAGTCGGGGGGGTCGAGGTGGGATTTGATGCTAAAAATCCTGGGAGCGGAAAAACTTCCTCTGCGTTGACCGTCACCGCCTTTCCGGCAAAAATAAAATTATTAGTCCGACATTCATGTCTGAACTTCCCTGTGCCCTGAGATAGTTTCTCTTTCTCAATCGTCCTTTTCAGGGCTTCTCATGATGGCCTTGAAACGGAAGGCATCATCAGAGGGGGCCACAACCCCCAAACGACGCCAGAAGCAGACTGTCATGGACAATTCCGGTAAGTTTACGTCCTCGGATAATATCCGATAAACTGATCCAATTGCTGACGATTCCCTAGATATGATCTATGAGGAGACTCACTCTGATGCCGAGTACTCAGCTCCTGGAACTCCAAGCTTAATGAGCGAAGACATGGACGATTCTCCGGCGACCCCATTCTCCGCCACCTCTTCCCGACGTGACCGATACCCATCCGAGTCCAAAACCCTACCTTGCCCATTCGAAGGGTGCGATAAGGCCTTCAATCGTCCGGCTCGACTTCAGGAGCATATCCGATCACACAACAACGAAAGAATTTTCAAGTGTGACGTTGAGGACTGCGATAAAACATTCCTACGCATTACCCATCTTCAACATCATACCAAGAGTGCACACACAAATGTTCGAGACTACGTTTGTGACTACCCGGGTTGTGGAAAGAGCTTTGTGAACGGGTCACGGCTTCGCCGACACGTTGCTACGCACGATGGACACGATAAGTACCGTTGTAACGAGTACCCACCTTGTAACGAGACATTCCGGAAGCACTCGACGCTACAGAAGCATGTCACAGTTGTGCACTTGAACCAGAAGCCATTCCCATGTAATCACATCGACCCAATCACGAAGGAGAAATGCGATATGGCTTTTGACAAGGCTGGTAATCTCCGGACTCACCAGAGCAGAGTCCACTCCGAGAAGCGATTCACTTGCGCAGAATGTGCGGAAGATATGGAAGCACAATCATCCGAAATGGCCGGCGATAGTGCAAAACAGGATGTTTCATTCCCTACATATGCCAGTCTACAAAACCACATTAAGATTGTTCACCCTCCCTCATGCCCCGAATGTCCATTGGTATGTTCCACAGCACGGGGACTGCGACAACACCTCGAGATAGCCCATGGCAACGTTACTCTCGAAGAACGAAAAATCTTCCCCTGTACTGTTCCTGGTTGCGGGCAGAGCTTCACCAAGCAAGGCAACTTGACCGTCCACATCCGCACAGTCCACCAAGGCGAGAAACGGTTCGTCTGCGGCGAAACAGATCTCTCAAAATCCACCAAGCTGGATGGATGGGACCGCGTCGGTTGCGGCAAGCGCTACGGCAACAAGCTGACACTCGAAGACCACATCCGCGTTACACACATGGGTCTCCCGAATGCCAGGAAACGACGTCAAGCAAAGACGAGCAAAAAGCCAGTGCAGGATGCCGTTTCAACTCTTTCCGCTCTCACGGGTCAAGGCTATGCCGAGGAAACAGGACGACAGATTGCATGCTTCTACCCCGAGACGTGCCCACATCGTTTCCATCGCAATTACGATCTGTGGGTACACATGACGACCAAACACCACTGTATGGAAGACGAGGTCCAGAACATGTTTATGCAGCGCGCACTGCTTACCGATGAATCCAGCCCTGGAGTCAACTCGCTGGGAATCTATGGTCTTGGATATGACCAGGATGGTCGGTCTTACTACCAACCATCCCAGTCATATACGACAGGAGATCATTCCTCGGATGTTGCTTTCGGCTCACAGTCGAACGATTCGTCTTATCTCCCTAGCCAGCCGGGGTTGGATTCTGATTATTTGATGCAAGACGATTTCCCAATGAGGGCAGTTGACAACATTTGAATATTTAATACCTGATATTGATTCTATGATACCCAGCCGTAATTAGACGGCGCTGGTTGGCCCTGCCAATACTTACCATGTGATAGAACAATGATCAAGGGCATTTCTACGATGTTATGAATATTATCTAGCGTTATTGATGCGTACCCGCGGACTCTTCTTTAAAGAAAGTCCCTATTCCTACAGCTTGTTAACTTCATCTGTGTTTAACCCGAAAAATAAATCCACGAAGGACCAGCTTCAACATGAATTCGAACTTGATTCCAACCATAGCCCTAGCCTTTAGAGACCGTACTGGTTGATATATTAGGTTTATAGACAGAGATGCCCTCGTCTTATTATAACTGGCTTATTCCTATTTTTATATTACTCCCCGAATGCCAATCGTCGAAAAAATGGCATGAGATAGTTATCCAGAGCTACCGAATACTGCATGTTGTGAAAGTTGTGTATTCCGGATAAGTCAAGCTTCTCTTAATGTAACTGTGTATGAATAGATACAGTCTCCCAGTTCCATCGATTTGTTTTCAGCCGCGTCTTTCTTTCTCCTCAGTATCTTCATTTCATCCTTTGCCTTTCTCTCATTCCTGTCTCTCATTCTTCATCAGAGTGGCCATCGGAATACTCACTGTTGAACCCCACGAATTGCGCCAGCCAATGATTTTCATAATCACCAACCCACAAGCCTTCCTTCATCATATCAACCAAACCCCAGGGAATGTGTCTAGCATGATCCTGGAAAGGAGGAGACCTAAGCGCAAGCACCGGGCCATCCTCTTTCTCCTCCCAGACAAGGGTCTGCAGGGGGTAATCCCAGGCAATGGCGTTATCATCCCTACACCAAAGCAAGGGATAAATCATCAACCGCTGCTCGGCCCAGTTGTTCCGCACTCTCTGATTCCGGATTTCTTCAGGACAAAGCTCATGTGCCTCGATCTCGCGTTCCAGATGGGGAAACAGCGGTGGTAATTCGACATGGTCCCAGGGGAATGACGGCAAGCCAGTTAAATGCTTGCAGAACTCCACTTGCACGGCGTTTGCCACGTCGACGCCGTAGATTGTGAAGAGTCGGACGATGTCGCAGAACAAATGGACTGCTGGGAAGCCGCGGGCGAGAGCTAACCATTGGCTGATCCGAATCAGTATGATCATGATTTGGTCGTCGTAGTGGTCGAGGTCGGTGATGCATGCGAGTTCAATACCTGGTTGGTTTGAGACCAGGACTGTTGGTGGTTGAGGGTTCTCTGGTGGTAGGAAGCCGAGGATTTGAGCGGCTTTCGGATCATTGTCAATGACAGATTGCCTTGCGGTCAGGGCTTTCCTGTCGTACTGATCCTCTACTGGGGGCCAGCGGTCCCAATACAGTGTTCCTTTGCAGGTTTGTAGGCGGTATTCTCTGAGATGCTTTGTTGCTTTCTGCTGTTTATCCCAGGCTGGACGGGGGTCATATATTGTGTCTAGAGATGGTTAGAAAGTCTGTTTATTTGGAAATGGACGTGGTATTTGCAGACAGTTCTTGCGGCGATTCCACGCGGTCTCATAGAGCTCCTCCTTGAATTCTGCGATCAATTCCTTGGACGCCAGGAATCCATTGTCCATCTCCAGGGCAGTCTCAACTCGGTCGGTGATCCAGTAGATGGGCCTGGATGTATCACGAAAAGGTCCCACCAAGTCTCTGAGCATTCGCAGTTCACGAGAGAACAAAATTTCGTCGCCTTCCCTGCACCATTCACCGTTCCAGGACGGCGGGAGCTGAGGTGCAAAGGTAGCACTACACTTGAAATACTTTGGCTCGCGGTTGATGTTCCGAATCCTGTTTGCAAACATTGCTCGGTGTCTGTAGTCATTGAAATAGTCGGGGATGTTGTTTAGAGATCGCTGGAGCTCGGCCACTTCCTCGAATGGGCCAAACAGCGAGAATAGAAGATGCCCAAAGGATCCGGGAAGAGTTTCTGTTTTAAAGCCAGGAAGATAGGAAGCTATCATATCTGGTAAATCATTTAGCTCGAAGCCGATGACGAAGTATGAGACTTCTTCCCGCAAGACATCGAGTTTACCACCCTGCTCAGCTCTCCAATGCAGGAGTCGTGACATGTGCGATTCGGATGAAAGTTCAGGGGACCTGTGAATGATTGTCGGGGGTGATATCGGTTCATAGATCTGGTGGAGATCCAACGCATCGAGAAGATGCGGGAGGTCTTCATCATCTTTAACTCGGACTTTCTGCTGTGGAACTGTGTGTCTGCGCATTTTGACCAATGCTGGCGGGCTGGAAGACATGTAAAGATCTGTGTACTAGAAAACTGTTCGACAGTCAGACAGAGTACTCGTAGTGATTGGCCATGAAGTCAATCCCAGTTGAACCACAGCTCAACGGCTACAGCTAACCATCGAGAAACCAGAGGGAGACGAGATAATGAGGGATCTCAGATCCATCTCTGTAGTCTCAGGTCTCTCGGTTCTACCATGATTGTTCTAGAATAGGTGAGGGTGGGAGATAAAACATGCTGGGCACTTTTCCACCTTTCACTTTGCTTTCTGTTCTCGGGTGACCCCAAGAATGCCGTGCCCGTGTGGACAGATTCAAATGCGAAAATGGAAAGAACGATTGAGATGTAAGCATAAATTTGAACTGATCTCATTGAGAGCGTGAGGTGTCAAAGGTTGTGAGGGGATGGGGGAAGGTGAGTGATGAGGGAGGGTACTACGCTTTCCAGGCGCTGGTTGCTGATTACTGGCCAACGCGCGTTGGCGTTAGCTCGACGCACCAAAATTCTTCATGTTCATGTCCATGTTATCAGAAAGACCGCATATATTACTCTTGAATGCGTGACATTTGAACAACAACGGGAATACCTAAAAGCAGAAATATGCAAATACAAGATTGAAGCCAGCCCTAGAGATGCAGATGCATATACTGTGGTATAGCTCGCTCTCTATATAGTTAGATATAGGGACTTCTAAAGTGAATCGAATCTAAATCGAATCTGAATTGAATCTGAATTGATCTATTGGCCGCTAGTGCGAATCTTTATAGGGTAGACTATTATAGAAAGAAGCTACTAAGCCTAAATTGGGACTTGCCTATTTAGGTCTCGGGACAATTCAGCTTCCAACTTAACTATAGGCAGCTTCTAGAATTCTTCTTATTATGTCCCCATCTACCTCCAAGTCACACCATCATGCCTTCAAAGTTGAAACTTCGACAAAAGGTCTTCGACCTTATTTTCAAGGCTCAGCATGATGAACTCAAGCAGCTATCAAGCACCGACACCCTTGACATAGTCAAAGTTCTTTAGAGACGACGTAAACAAGACTTGGTATCCAGCGCCGACAGCAAGTCGTACAGCGTTACTACCAACACTCGAAGTGCCACCAGTGATGATGACGGTGCGCGGCAAGCCTGACCTTCCTACAACATTAGTAGGCGCTGGGATTGAGGCATGTCGAGACCCAGATAATCTGGGTGGAAGAGGCCGTATGCGGCAGTTCCAAGACCCAGCCCCAAGACACATGCCGGTTCATCGGTGATGCTGGGTGGAATTGGTGTCAATATATTCTGTCTCGTTACCGTATAGAGCTGGAAAGCTCCCTCGGCTGGACGGTTGACCTCTTTTGCAATGGCCGCAGCACTACCGCAGACTCGGTCGCCTAAGCGGAAACGCTGCACGCCAGGACCGACCTCGACGACTTCACCGGCAACATCCGTGCTGAAGATGAGGGGGTGCTTGATGTAACCGGCAAGTGCTGGGGCGATGTACTGCGACACCCAGTCAAAAGGATTGATAGCAACGGCGGTGAGGTCCAAAATGAGCCAGCATCACTTAGACGGGATGGTGTGTATAGGAGGGGACTGAAGCAAAAGGTGAAATCCCCCGAAGACTCGAGCGGAGTTATATGTACATGTATCGCCATGATAAGAGTTAAGAGCTTGAAAAATTTAGGGGTTGTAACACAGTGTATAAAATGGACGGAATTGAACGGTATTCAGACCGATGCCCGGTGTTGAGGTCCGGTTGAAGTCCAGTTGAGGCATGACGCCTTAGGGTTCGTTACGGCCCGAGCGGTATCATTCTACCTTTATCCCCGAGGTCGATCCGTTCTAGTCCACCCCAAGCGCTACTTCCAAGGTTAATTTGCATCGGTAGTATAAGATAGTTGTAATGCCTGCTCATATTTTACACTTCTCCGAAAATGACATCATCTGACAGTATGATCAAGTTAGGCCTAGTTCGATCCCGTCTTGGAGTTGCTCTAAACCAGAGATAAAGGAACGTGGACCTGTTTATTTAGTTGTAGAAGAACTTAGCAGTGTATGGATGCTCCACTGATTTTTTATAGAGAGCTTCGTATCGATCTACCTATATAGTAGTTAGATTGATTGATACGAGGCATGTTGACACCCCTTTGATATAACTTTATTTCTGATATGAATTGTGGAACCCCTGCATAGCCACGCTCAAGGTTGGAAACCATGGAAGTTGGGGAAACCTTAGAAGATATGAAAAGAATCCCTTTAGAAGAATGAACGCCTCTAAATCCCACATGGATGATCTACATTTTGTTAGAAAAAATTTAAAGTGCCGATGACGCGTTAGGTCAGATCTCCATGGAGCCATGCTGATCCTATGCTGCAGGTGAGAAAATCATTGATCCATTTTGATATTTTTAATCTTTTAATCTAATGCCAAGACTGCGACCGGCCATATAATACCTGGGCATTGCACGGAGTTACCGAGGATTACTCCGGGCTCCACCATATGTTGTACAATATATGCCCAGGTGTGCACCATTCCTAATATACTAATTGCGTCGTTCCAAGGGTTACCTGAGCAAAGATTGTGGCTGGAGTGCCCTAATGCAGGAGTGAAAAAGGCCCGTGGGTGAAAAGCCCATGAACTACTTTGTATATCCGGGGACCAGCGGGGTAAATTAGAAAACAGGGTATGACATTAGTACCTGAATTGTATGATATACAGGTGAGAATAGAATTTATTGTATAATAAGCTCCCCAGCGGTGAAAGGGTATACGCATGTTCAAGACCAGATGTGCAGATGATATGTGGGCCGATAGACAAGAAAGGCAACGTGGAAGAGTCCTGTGAGAGTGTGAGAGTCCAAAGTGGCAATGAAACAGTAGAATTTGCCAAGCCTAAGTTTACATCCAGTGGGAAATAAAGCCTTGGCTACTCCGTACAATGGGGGAATTGTTATAGAATTAAGGGGGTAATTAGAAGAGGAAATATTGAGTATGGAGTCCTATGTATGAAGTATAACTCAGGGGAATTATAACATAGTTACCTTCAAACTTCGTTGTGTTCGAACATAAGACATCTACTCCGTTATAGCTATATTTATCCACCATGCATACTACTAGTCTACTTATAGTCCCAGATGTCTCTCCACCGATAATCCAAGAGGGTCTGGGAAAGACGCCAATTAAAAACCCTTTGTTGCACTCAGTGAGAGGGAAAAAACAAAATAAAAGTAGAAATTGGCTTGGCTTCGGTTTTTAATTGTCACACAAAAATAATTAGTAGTTTGTTATAATAATACTCGTTATAAGTATATTATTAGTGTAGCGTGGAATGTTTGGTCTCTTGCCGCCTCTCTCTCGGGACTTGCCCAAATGACCGGCTCTCCTCTTTCTACCTCTTTCTCTTCAATCCTCCTATTATTCCAAATTATCCCAATCCTCTTTTTCTCTCTTTTCTCTCTTTTCTCTCTGGAAATACATTAAAACACAAAACAAACAAGGATCGTTAATCCCGGTGATTAGCAAAGACGTACCCAGCTTGTAACGTCATCTTCCTTGGCAGAGCTCGATTTCCCTAAACTCCTAAACTCTCGACCCGACCACTCACTCGTTCTCATTCATTCTTATTCTTCCTCTTCTGTGGATTTTATGGATTGACCTCTCTCAAGTTTGGTCCAGGTGCAGTCGCTATTTGACAGTCTCTCGTTCAGCGCAATTCGACCTACCTCGGACAGTTTCCTTTTAAATCTCACCATACTCCAGTCGCTCTCCTTACTTTCAACACGTTTCACAGTCAAACCCAGTGAGGGGTAATACTCAAAGAGACTACTGAAGTTCTCGTCCGCACATCACGTTCCGACGTCATGGGTCGTTCGCGTGGTAAGTCGATCCTTTCCGGGTACGCCGGGAAGTACACTAGAGCCCGTTATTGACTCTCCCTTGCGTTTGACTAGTTCGCTCGTTTATATCCAGTTTGGGGGGTCGAGACACAATGATTCTGCTAAAGAAAGCAAAAAGTTGTCGAAGAACGTGATGCCAGTGGCCAACGTGACTCCGTCCGATACACCACCCCAGTGGCAAACCCCTCCCGATACACCGTCTCCTCCGACCGAATCATCATCCCCTGTGAGCTCTGGACCAAGAGGTGGAAATGGCTCGCGACCGGCATCCATGATCTTCTCACGCAACCCGCCTCTCATGCAACAGGCGGGCGATACCCCACCGGAGCTATCGCCAATATTTTCGTTCCTCAATATCCACACAAGCAAGGTCTACCATGAAGGATACTTTCTAAAACTGAATGATCAGGATTCCCGTAAGTCAATCTCCTCCCCCGGTGCCTTGCGGGGAAAAGCGGGCTTACACGTGGCAGACGGACGGCATTCTGGTGATCGGCAATGGGTGGAATGCTACGCACAGCTGGTCGGAACTGTTCTTTCACTGTGGGATAGCGCTGCGCTGGACGCAGCAGGTGGAGAAGAGGTCCCGGCGACCTTTATCAACTTGGCCGATGCGTCTATTAAGATGGTGAGAGCTTTAGCCTCCCAGGATTGTCCGACATGAACTCACCAGTTACTCGCAGATTGAGACACTTCCGATCCAAAATGGGGCTATACAACCATTGAAGAATGTACTCAGCCTTTCTTCTGCGGGCAAAAATCGATACCTCTTGCATTTCAATTCTTTCAACTCACTAACCCAATGGACTGCCGCGATTCGTCTCGCGATGTTCGAACACACTTCTTTGTACGAAGCTTACACCGGTTCTTTGATTGCAGCGAAAGGAAGAACCCTCAACGGAATCAACTCTATCATGGCGCCCACCAAATTCAAGTACGAGGATTGGGCCCGTGTACGATTTGGAGCAGGAACCCCATGGAGGCGGTGCTGGTTTGTGATCAGCCCGCCAGACGAAAAGGAGCTCCAAAAAGCGCGGAAAGTCATGAAGAAATCGGCATATGACCGACTGACAATGCCTGTTACCGGAAACATCAAGTTTTACGAGACGAAGAAGACGAAAAAGGCGATTCCAATTGCAACGGTTACCCAGGTTTACTCGGCATATGCGATTTATCCACAATCCAAGGCACTAATTGACGCATCCACCCTGGTGAAGTTGGAAGGACGGATTACCACGCATTCGCCGGATTCTTCCTCGGAGGGCCTTGTTTTTATCATGCCTGAGCCACATCCTGCGGTTTCTGGATTGGAGATGATGCTGCGCTTCCTTTTCCCGACATTCGACACTTTCAATCTCTATGGCCGTCCTACTCGCCTAGTGGCAGACACTAATCACATTAAGAGTATCATGTTTGCCTTCCCCAAGGAGCGACGTTACGGTTATCTTGATGTGCTTGACATTGCCAATCTTCTTCAAACCCCGGGAAGCCAAGAATGGAGCGAAGCTCAGTGGAGGAAACAGCTCAAAGAGGCAACACAGCGTCGAATCTCATCTGGCAGGAGCAGAACCAACAGTGTCAACAGCACGCGGCCTCGTTATCGCTCCATGTCTAGCCGAACCAGTGATATCCCTATGGACTCCGCTCGCCGCCAGTTTGCTGGTCTCGAGAACAAGCCTGAATTCAACAATTCTACTGAGGCTATTATTCATGAAGTTCCCCAAAACGAGGACTCACCTGCTGTGCATCATAACCGCGTGGTTTCTGATACCACGGGCTTTAACGCTCGCTCTCGGCCAGGCCATGGATCTTTACTCGAGAGCTCACCAGACTCGTCTTCCCAAGATCTGATGCAGCGTGGCATTCCAGCGGTCGCGCCCATCGCCGAGAGTACCAGCTCTGGGAGCGACCCAAATCTCGACCGTCCCCGTGGCCCGTCAGTCGAACAGCAGCTCCCTCCACGCACCCCACCGGCTCCTGTTGAAAGCCCACCCGCATTTTCGCATGGACCCAAAGAGATACCCACTAACCGGCCAGAGGCTTCTTCGGAGCAGAGATTGGCGAACAACCGGATGTCTCACGGAACACTTTCGCAACTCGCATCAGTCGGAACAATGGGGCTGAGCGCGGCAGCCGCCGGTGCTGCATGGAAAAACCACCAGGCACAGGCTACGAACAACCAACAGGCCCAGGACCGGAGCTTCGACAGGGTCTATACCCCTGACCCCGTTGTGTCCACGAACTCTCTTGCAGCTTCATCAAGCGACGAGGGCTTAGGCCTTGCATTCCCTCTTCGACCTCCCTCAGTTCCGGAGCATCGCCCGAACACACCTAGTACTACCGGCAGCCCACGGCGGGTTTCTCCCCAGAAATATTCCCCACAACGGATGCAGCTTGACTCCAACAAATCCGTGCGACGCAAGCCACTCCCTCAGAAAACCCTTTTCGTGGCAGAGCCACAGTCACCAAGCGAACCCAGTTTTGAGGATCTTCGCCATACCCTCGATGAAGATGCGTTGAATAAAATTGCTCCTCATCTTCCATCCCCAATCTCATCTATTGGAAAAGGAAGAAACGGGAATGAGGACGAGAGCATTTATGATGATGCATCGACGGTTTCGCCTGACTATGCTAGCACCCACGGTTCTGTCTACAGCAAGAAATCTATTGCGTCCACCAAACCCAGAATGGGCGTCATGAAAACTGTGGGAGTTCCAGCTGCGAAAGATTATGTCATTGGCGATGCTCATTATACTATGGACAAGCCGCCAACCTCAAACCCAGATATTCCCTCTGTTGACTTCGGCCCAACTATGACCTATATGCCTACTACTGGGCGGCCAACCACATCAGACACCCTGAGAAGACCAAAGCACCAACGCAATGATTCGTCGGGAACCAAATTTTCCGTTCCTACTCAAGCAATCGATCAGGGTAATGCCACCGGGGAGGAATTTCGACGGAGCATGCTGTGGCAGCCTGGAATGGCTTCTGGTCGCCCTGTTACTCCAGGTGGAGGTCTTACACCGGAACAGTTCGTGCAGCAACGGGCGGCCCCCAGCCCTCCGATGCATCTCCACAATCGCACCCCTTCCAATCCTATGTCAGTACATCGTCCGGTATCTGGCGACTGGACACAGCATGTCCATCCCAATTCGCCCATGACCCCTCAGCGGGATCCGAACTATCGACCTTCGTCCCGTGGTGCCCAGGGTATGCTTAACTACAACGAGGCTTCAACCAACCTATCTGCTCGTGAACAGGAGCACGTTGCCCGCATGACTGGTTCTTCGTTCTTCAATATGTCAAAAAATGACAACCGGAAGCCACAGGCGCCAGTGAGCCCTATGGGCCTTGTCTCACATATCGATGCTCGGGAGCGCGAAAAGCGAGAAATGCGGGAGGGAATGTCAAACCAGGCAGTTCAACGGGCTATTGCACACCGTCAGCAACACATGATGAATCAGCAACAGTATGCGCCTCAACAGTTCGCGCCGTCGCTCGCACCTCAGCATATGCCCCAACAGGCTGGTTCTGTGTATCCACCTCAACATGGTCGCCACGAGTCCATGTACAACATGCCAGCTGCCAGCCACACATGGGATGCCCTGAACCAGACAGCCCGCCCCGATGAACCCCGTCGATCATCCTGGTACGGACAGCTTACACAGGCTCAAACGTCGCCTAGTTATCAACCAAGCCAGCCATACGGCCAAGAACCGAGGTACTACACCCACGCTAAATAAACCGGTTCTTCCCCTGGGGTGTGAGACTGGTTCCGTCGCCCATCCATCGTTTTATCGCAACCTCAACTTTGCTTTCAGTCCTTCAACTCCTCATTCCCTGCACATCATTAGCAGCATCATTCCTTTTTTTATGTTCAACTCACCATTCCTGCATACCTATCAACCTTTGCACTTGGGCTTCCAACTTGTTCCTCCTGCACGCATTCCTTCTCCTTGCTCTCCAGCATCACTCATTATCATTTCGTTGTCTCTCATTGCTTATTGCTTCCTTGCTTCCTTGCATCACGCATCCAACCGGAGTTCCAGACGGGCGTGGTGGGATCGTCCCTGATTTTTTTCATGCGCTTATCGTTATATCGGGGTCCTTGCTTTTTACTCTCTTCTTTTTTTTATTCACATGTTTGTTTAACATGTAGATCAGACACGTGGAAATATGTGGTCTGTATGTACACGATATAGATTGACCATGGATATCCAGGGGATTACTCTTCCTTTTTTCACATTCTTTCTTTCGAGTAATGGGGTTTGTAGTAGTAGACGTACATCTTGCACTCAAATGATGGCAATTAATGTAATATCCGGACCTGTGAATTTCTTTTCCTAGTTTGTTGTAGCGGTAGATCTGCGGATTCTTCACGATCTTTCCTAGATGATTTAAACAATATGCTGCATCTGGCGTTTGACTCGATGAATATTACATCAAAGGAGTGCATCACATGTAAAAATTATTCAAGCTCTCCGCGGCAGTGTATGCCCGATGAACCTCTCTATACACAGCCATGGCATCGGTCCTGCTAGAAAATGCCAAAAGAACAAAAGAACAATAAGCATAGATGATAACGTACTGCAAGTGACTTTTACTCTGGCATACGGGATTTAAAAAGAGCTCTTAGTTATAGTGCGACCAAATGATTTTCGTTTGTATATCTTAGGCGGTGTAATTCTGCCGAAAAGTGAGGTTATATTGAACTTTAAGGATCTCCTTTCGCCCTTCGGGGCATATGGTCAAATGAAAATATACAGAGAAGATTAGCATGGCCCCTGCACTAAGGATGACATGTCTCAATCAAAGAGAAGCTACCTAATTTTTTTTTCCTTACCCGTCATATTTTGAGGGTATATAGGTGTGAGTGTTTTGAGGATATAATTGGTGAAGTCACGTGGCGTCGCCGTTCGACCCACCGCACGAGCTTCTACTTCGGAATAATAATAATCCCTTCACCCTTAAGGCAACAGCCTACCTACCCTCCACCCCTAAACTAGCGGCCAAGAGATCTGCCGATTTTATTCCGAATTGAATTTAGCGTATTGTATTGAACATGTATAGCTATGATCTTGAATTCTTCCTTCTTCTCTTCCTTCTTCAACTACCCTCTCTCCACAATTCATTTCAATTCAATTCAATTTACTATGGAAGTCCCCACACCTATATAGAGAAACCTATATTATACGTATTGCTCCTTTGATAGAAGGCTTCTTCCGTATAAGAAGGAAGTAAGATCCGATTGATTGATATAGCATTCATTTGTAAAGATACCATATAAAATACTACGCTAATTATGCGCTAGTAAAAATGAGTGGAGGTGGGTGAATCTTTATAGGGTAGGCTGTTGTATGTTGTATATGATTGAAATTTACAATTTGATCTTAAGTACCTCATCTAGAGGCAAGATAGTATAGTATACACAACGGGGGTTAAATACCAAGTAGGCAAAAAATCCAACAAAACACCAATCAAAGAGTTCAAACAGCTACAAAGTCCGACTCAAAATCCCTGGTAACTAGCATTTAACAGCTAGCACCGCTGGGGATACTCTTGCACTTCTCGCTAGTCTTACCACCGGTGATGTCAACACCACTCCAAGTCCAGTCGGAGCAAGCACCAGAACCACACAGGATGTAGGTGTTGGTACCACCGCTGGCCACGGTTCCGTGCACGTTGTCGATAGTCAGATCGGTGATGGGGACACCGTTGGTGGGCTTTCCGGTAGGGCTGCCGTTCTCGTAATCCTGCTCGATGATGAGACCGTACTTGGCGATTCCGGAGAGGGTGATGTCCTTGTAGGTGACGCCCTTGACAGCGCCGGTGGCGCCGGAGACGGTCTTGATGCGAACACCTGTAGAACTGGAGTATTAGAATATCGACATCGGGAGAATGAAAATGAAACTGAAGCTGGTAATATCTTTACGTACCGTTGTCGGAGTCCTTGATGGTGCAGTTCTCGATGGTGACGCCGTCGACGGTGTTTTCGGAGCGTCCGCCAACGGAGCCGATGGAGATACCGTGGCCGCCGGTGCACTGAGCGCCGGTGAAGTGGATGTTCTAGGAGTATCAGTTAGTTAACATTCCACCAAATAAGATAAGTGCCACTTGTCGTGTATACACATACAGAGCCGGAGTTGACAGCCAGACAGTCATCCTGGTTGTGGACGGTAGGACCGGTGATGTAGACACCGTCGCTAGAGCCGACGTCGAAAGCGTCAGTGTTGTGGCCGCCCTGGGTATCTCCGTCGGCGTTGTCGATGGTGACTCCACTGACAGTCAGCTCGGTGACGGTGTTGATGCTGAAGACCTGCGAGGGGGAGTTCTTGACGAAGATGTTCTCAATCTTGGAGTTCTTCAAGCTGTGGGCGTTGAAGAACTTGGGCTTGGTCTTGCCGCCGTTGCCGCCCTTGCTGTCCCACCAGCGGGCACCATCTCCGTTGAGCTGCGCGCCTGCGGCGCCCTTGACGGTGATGGAGGTTCCGGAGACAGAGACGAGGGGACCTTTCCATTCCTTGTAGCCGAAGGTGGTGATTCCTTCGAAGACGACCTATACAGTGTGGTTAGTATAGAGATTTAGGTCGGAGATTGTGGCGTAGCTTACCGTGGTACCGGTCTTCAGTCCTGTCAGGTCCAGGGTAGTTCCGGCTGGGACTTCGACGTTGTTCAGGGTGATGGTTGAGCAAGACTTCTTGCCCTTGATGGCATCTGCAGCACCGCTGGCGCCGGAGAAGGTACAGGCATCACGAGAGGCAAGGAGAGAGGTTCCAAGGTCAGGCTCAGCGGCGGGAGCTGCGTTGATAGCAGTAGCACCGAGCAGGGCAATCAAGCCAAGTTTGAGACTGGAGGCCATGATAATGAAAGTATGAAATAGAAATGAATGTGAGGTTTAGAAAGAGTGTGATTGTTTTTTTGTGATTCTTCAAGCAAAGAGCAGACAAGAGGTGTTATATATACTTCTATGGTTCATTCTGAGACAAACTGGAATCCAGAGAGCTAGAACCAAATGAGAATGAGAAGTACCTACTTCGTCTATTTTTGTTCAAAGTTGCATCTTGTTGAGAAAAGGTACCGATACATTTTTCCTCCAATGTAACGCTGAGCTTTGGGATTTATTTGCGGGGCTCCGTTTCACTTTCAAACTGGCCATCGAAGGCATATCCCGGTATCCCGATATTCCGCCAAGGCCCAAGGGGTGGTAGAATGAATAAGTCAAGCTAATTTGTGGGTCTTGATGGTTGTTTCGAATTTGGATTTCGGACCCCACTATGTAAATTGGTTTAAACGAGGTTTAAACGAGGTTTAGCCAGTCGATAGCTCATCTGGGCCTGGTTTGACGTGTGAAGCCGGTGAGTGCACGGATTAATCAATGCCAATAACAAATACATGTCTTAGAATGATCAGTCTGGAAGCCACGTATAGGAGAGAGAACTGATATGGAGCCATGGACCCAGTTTTACAAGTTAAGCCTCTTAGGGCTTTTTTTTCCCGCTGATCTATGAAATTGAGAAGGGCGTGAAAATACCTGGAAAAATATCTACAGTAAAAAGGAGGCATACAAAGACATCTAGACATTCAAAAGGACTCCTAAAAAGAAAAAAAAGAAGTCAGAAGGCATCCGTAGCTGAGTATCTTTGTGTACATTTTGCGGAAGACTCGGGAGGAATGGCCGGCGACTAGTACAACGGTTGTATATCAAGCCTTCAAGTTCCCACTCAAGCTATACCCAAAGGAGCATCCCGTTTCCACTCCATTGCTTATTATGCGGATAACTCTCCGGAAAAACTTGGCCCTAGACCCCTATCTTCTGAAACAGGGGTCTTTTACGGAGTATTGCTTCCTTCACATATGTAGAATACGAAAAGACCTTACTTAACTACTCCGTACTGGCAAGCCAAATTTGTTGAGATAGGCGCCTTGTTTCCCAAGCTTCGCCAAGCTACACAAGTAGCTCTATTTTTAGTACTAGCAGAAATCAATCTTTCTTTCTCCTCTCTCTTGCTCCGAATAGCCAGGTCAATGCTTATTGAGAGGAAAGTGTTCCGGGAGTGGTTATACGGGTTTGTGAGGGATGGGGGCTAAAGAGGGTTAAGGGGTTTCTAGTAGTAAGGGTGATGTAGATACAGACCTCTCTCTATATCTATATAGTATAGTTATCCTTATCTTATGTCGTATTCAATGTCCTAGTATATACCCTATAATTAACACTTATACAACTTGCATGTATATCCTTAAGAGTCAGATGCCCGAAGCACAATCACGCGGCGTACAAAAGCCCGTGATTTCCCCCGGTATATTTACTTCCCACCACTCATCTTCATAGGTCACAGTGTAGTGGTAAATCAAATGAAATGATTATTATTTGTCTTTTCCACATTTCTTCTGTTGTACTCCGTACTTTTCCCGAGAAATAATTTTGTAGTGGTAAGGAGGGTTAGTCGTGATATATATATGTTGTAGTTGGAAGATCGGGTACCGGAGTCATCTATCTTCTAGGACTTCACTATGGACCAATCCAGAACAAAACTACAATGTACATAAAGGGCGTCTTGGTGCCAATTAGGATCAAGGAGAAACATCTACATACTACATCACTCATTTTTTTCTTTTGTTTTCTTTTGTTTTCTTTTGTTTTCGTATCCGTGGGCTAATAAGCAAATCGAACGGCGGTACCTGGGGTTACCAAAATGTTTAGACCGTGTGAACCCACCCAGCTGGGAATGGCGAAGGGCAGGTGTTGCTCTTAAATTGATGGGAATCTATGTTGTAGGGAAAGATATACATCCGAAATGGGAAACTGGGTACATATCACGTGATTATATACTCCGTACAAAAATCTTCAATATATTCGGCGGCAAATGTCAATGTTGTTTTTTTTTTTTTTTTTTTCCAATTGCAAATATTCCATGTTATCGATACATGAATAGTTACATCTTAGCCCAAAACAGCGCAGTGGCAAAACATTTATAAAGGTATCTCAAGAACGCCACAGGTGCCAGCTTCCCTGGCTCCCACGATGCTTCAACTCACTTCTTCACTCCGAAAAGCACCCACCTCATGCTAGAGTAGATCATCCCATGCAAAGAGATGTTTTGTAAATACTAGATTCTATCTTGACCCCAACTAGATATCAACATCTAGCTCGAATGCAACTTCTTGACGCGCATGGCACCTTCATACAGACCGCGATCCAGAGCAGCAGCGACAGTCAGAGTACCACCAATGATAGCACAGACACCAGTGAGGAAGTTAGTGAAAGTCTTCGGGCGAGCCTCACGGTTGACAACCTTCATAGGGGATATATCGTAGTTGAAGAAGACACCTGGAATACCGCCGCCGGCATGCACGCGCTCCTTGTGCCCCTCTGCAGCATCGTTTCCGCCGGCAAGAGGACGCTTGTGAGAGGTGACCGAGTACTGGTGAGCCTCGATACTACCCTGACTACCGTAGCCAAGGCCGTGGGTGCCAAGAGGGGCCTTGTCGTAGGCGTTGTGGATGGAGGTCGAGAACTGTGGATCCCAGCCTAGAGGCAAGTACGATGTGGAGACAACCTTGACAAAGTACATGAAGTTGTAGGCAGGCTCGTTAGTCTCCTGCTTGGTATCGTCAAGCGGGTTGGTGTGGTGGTGATCAGTCCAGCCCCAGCGGCCTGCAAGCTCGGTGGGGAGCTGGGGTCCGAAGCGAAGCTCGTGGACCAAGTGGGACATTGTGTGCTGCTCTGATGGGCCTGCGTTAGGGACAATATAGGCGTCCAGATCGTGGACGTGCATGTTGCCAGTGGTGAAGCTGCGGCCCGGTGCAATGTGGAAGTTGCCAATCACCTTGTTGACCTTCAGCACACCCTCGATCCGACATCCTTCGCGGCGCTGTGCGGCAAGTTTTTCGGAATATCCTTCACGCTTACACTGCTCGATGTTGCTCCCGTCACCGAAGGCCCATTGCTTCTCGGCGTAGGCTTCGCGCACTTCCTCGCAAGTAGTACAGCATCCTGGTTTGATAACCGTGGGGGGAGGCGTTGCTCCACCACATTCACCACAGTAGTCGGGGGCCAAGTGCTTCGCAGCTTCTGATGGGGAGTGTCTGGAAAGGGGACGATAATGAGGTTGTGATCACGACAGGAAGGATTTTGGGTGGAAGGACTGGCACTTACAGGTCCAAAGCCTGGACATCAATCACCTTGCCGCCTTCATCGTGTGGGCTCAGGCGGACTTTGTTCACGCCATGGGCAACACCGACTTGCTGCTCACCAGAGACATCCATCACATCCAAGGTCAAGAGCTCACATGGCAGCCGAGGGAAGGTCATGTTCAAATGAATCTCCATCCGCTCTCCTGCGCAGCAAATTGAGTCGTTAGCGACCTTGCCCTATACATTGTATCTTCTGCAGGTCCATCCTGGGTCCGATCGAGTCCAAACTCTATTCATACCTCGCGATTTATCGACGACCAGCTCCGGTTGCACCACCACTCGTCGGTAGTCGGCCCATTCACCCCATACTAGCCACATAACAATCAATAGCGAAGCAATTGTAATGACACCCCCTGAGTTTGTGCGAATGCGGGCATCTTCGACGGTCTTGGCGAAGGCATCTAGCCTCGTGAATCGCGACTTTGCGGACATCTCGCCGGTCAGTTGACGACCATAGGATGAAGCGCAAAGGCTAGGTGATGGTTTCTGGACAGCAGCAGAAAATTAAACGCCTGTAAGACAAAAAGAACACGAATAGGTCAGCTACGTGGTCATTGGACGCGCAAGCTCCATTGAATGAGGGAGACCCCATTCAAATGAACAGATCAAACAAACAACAATGGAGGAAAATCAAAATGGGGGAAGGCAACCATACCAATAATAGAGTACGAGTGAGTCAATTCAAACTCAATGCGACTGAGTCTTCCAGGCACCCGACAAGAGAGACAAGAACAAGGCCAATTTGAAGCCTCCAAGTGGCCAGACATACTTGCAGGCTCAATGTATGAGGAGCACTCGTGAGGACAGACGACAGCATGTGATTGGCCCACCTGAAACAAAAAGATGAGTCATCACCTAATTAAGACTAGTAGCAATCAATGTTTCCTAATCAGGACTAGTAGCAGTGAATGCCGCCTCATCACGTGCCAATCGTCACTTTTTCTTTGAACTCACTTTAGTTATTCAGGGCTCTATTGTTCTTTGGTAATTCACTGTCACTTTATTATTGTCTTGCAGCTACACTACATAATCTGCAGCCCTCCCCCTCTTCTCCAGTCTTTTCAGTTTGCTCTTTCTTTACCTCCCACATCCCCGAGTCACTTTTCGGAAACCCTGCGATTTCCGCACATGCCAACAACTTCTTTCTGCCTGATCTGAGGCGCAAAGCGCGCTGCTCGCTTCAATTTAGCAGTTTCAGATTTCTTTCAGCTTAACCCCCCTTACAAGAACCTTCGATACCCCATCAACCTCTCAGCGCTCTCCTCCAACCGCCATGAAGAGCATGAAGTCTCGCCGCGGCGGCAATGATCGCGGGGGAATCCGCAAGCGGGGCCCTACTCGCACCGACCGAGATGGCGATATGGATATGGATGCGAGTGGTGCTCGTGCAAAGAGAAACCGGGCCGACAAGTCTGCACTGGGTGGACGCGCAGCCGGCACAGGCGCAGGTGGCCGAGCTGTCGGAGCTGGCAACCGGGCCCAGGCTCGCAACAAGCCCCGGGATTCGGATCTGATCCAGAGGGCTATTTACAGCGCCGACAGCCAAGCAAACATTCAGCGCAACAAGAAAAAAACCGGCGGAGACCTGGAACAGTTCAGTGTCCGAGGATGGAAGTCAAGTAAGGCGGCAAGCAACCGTGATGGTGGCCTCGAGAGCCTCATCGC